CGGTACAAGTGAGTTCAAAGGAACGTCTCATAACACCATACATCAGGGGAATGTGTTGCATAAGTCAACAGCAACATGCCCACGTGTTCACACTGGGACGATAAAAGACACTGAGTTATGTTGGGTAGGAGTTTGTGGGAGGAAATGAAGGTTTTGTTTTTGTTTTTATCAATGATTTTTATGGGAAGGCTTCTCTCTTTCATTTCATAAATGATGGCCTCTCAGAAACGCAAAAGTAGGGTTCCTTGGGTGCCAACTGGGCTGCTTTCTGTGGAGATGGTTTTATCAGGGAAGAGTCAGTTTTCTTTTTGGACCAAAGATGGAAGTTTAGTAAACAGATAAACCTCAGTACAGATGGTAAATGCAGTAGGAATTCCCAGTGCAGAGCTGACTGTGTTCTCACAGTCACTGATACAAATGCCTGCTGGAGCCAGTCTGCTGCATGTTATTGATGAGGACAAGCATCTAATTATTTCTATGCCTTACACTTTATGAAGTATTTCCCCCAGTAAGTGAGTACAAAGAACTATTCTAGCTGAAGGCGAGCATTACAGATTGGGGACTCTCCAAACAGGCAGCACATGCCACACCCATTTTCCTTCACAGACATGAGCACTAGATTAGGGCCCAAATAACTTTTTACAGTCACCAGGGAAATGATTCCCCATGACAGTTACAACAGAAAAGCTTTGATGGGACTCTGTGGAAATGGCTTTTTCACAGATAGCCAAGTAAAAATATAATCGGGGTAGAGAAGGGAGGATTCCTCTCGCTATCATCCCTTCCCACAATTTGGTTTGCTTCTTTGTGGATAAATATAAAAGCTCTACCTTGCAAAAACAACGAGGAGTCCGGTGGCACCTTAAAGACTACCAGATTTATTCGGGCATAAGTTTTCGTAGGTATAAAACCCCAGTTCCGAAGAAGTGTTTTTTTAAACCAGGAAAGCTTATGCCCAAATAAATGTTAGTCTTTAAGGTACCACCGGACTCCTTGTTGTTTTTGTGGAAACAGACTAACATGGCTACCCCTCTGATACTTGGCACCTTCTGCCTTGCAGTTACCATTCTTCTCAGCAGTGGACTAAATGGGACTCTCTTTAAAAGCCATCAGCAGTAGTTAGTCAGAGTGGCTGCTGTAGTCTGGCATGAAGCACTTGGTGATCTTCAAGGGTTGAATGTGAGGCCTCTAGAACCCCGCTACTCCCAGTCAGATGGTAAGGGTAATGCAACCAGAAATGCTGTTTTATTTTACTCCTACTCCCCTTCTTTATGGTCTTTAACCTGTTAACTTCTCCATTTCTGTTCTTCTCCTTCCTCACTCTCTTCCACTACTGTCTTCCCTTACTTCCCAGGGGTTACAACTCTGTAGGCAGCAAAGTGAAACTTGAAGAAACCTGTAGCTACATTCTGTTACACCAAGGGGAAAATCATCAAAGTAAAAGAAAAAATGGTTACCTACCCTTTTGTCACTGTTGTTCTTCGAGATGTGTTGCTCATGTCCATTCCATTCTAGGTGTGTGCGCGACCATGTGCACAGCCATCGGAGATTTTTGCCTTAGTGGTATCTATAGGGTCGGCTGTAGCGCCCTCGAGTGGTATATTAGGTGCTGCCGACTCTACACCCTCTCAGTTCCTTTTTGCTGGCAACTCCGACAGAGGGGTAGGAGGGTGGGTAATGGAATGGACGTGACAAACAAATCTCGAAGAACATTTACAAAAAGGTAGGTAACCATTTTTTCTTCAAGTGCTTCCTCATGTCAATTCCATTGTAGGTGACTCACAAGCAGTATCCTCGGAGTTTAGCAGCTTTAAGTACTGTTCTACTGAAGTCAGCCTCATCCCGGGCCTGCTGGCTAAGTGCATGATGGGACATGAACCTGCGGACAGATGACCAGGTGGCTGCCCTACAGACGTCCTGGATAAGCACTTGGGCTAGGAAAACTGCTGAAGATGCTTGCACCCTGGTTGAGTGGGTGGTGACAATCGCCAGAGGTGGCACCAGTGCCTGGTTGTAGCAGCAAGGAATGCAGGGAGTGATCCAAGAAGAAATTCTTTGAGTGGACACTGGACGACTTTTCATCCTGTTGGCCACCATGATGAACAACTGCGTCGACTTGCGGAATGGCTTGGCCCTTTCAATGAAGAAGGCTAGCGCCTGCCTGACATCTAGGGAATGCAATCTACACTCCTCCTCCAACTTATGCGGCTTTGGAAAAAAGACAGGTAAGTAAATGTCCTGGCTCATATGAAACTGTGAGACCACCTTGGGCAGGAAAGCCGGGTGTGGCTGCAGCTGGACCTTGTCTTTGTAGAAGACTGTGTAAGGCAGTTCCGAGGTAAGTGCCCTAATCTCGGAGACCCAGCGGGTGGAGGCCGGTCCCATGAGCCGTGACAGCACAAGATTCAGGTCCCACTGTGGAACGGGGTCCCTGACGTTCAGGTAAAGGCACTTGAGACCACTGAGGAACCTGGCAGTCATGTCCTGGGCGAAAACCGACCCACCCTCGAGTGGCGGACGGAAGGCCGAAATAGCGGCCAAGTGGACCTTGATAGATGAAAGGGACAGGCCTTGGAACTTGAGATGCAGAAGGTAGTCCAGGATCAAATGGAGCGAGGTCTAGTCGGGCTGAATACTTTTAGCCGAGGTCCAATAAGTGAACCGCTTCCATTTGGCCAGGTAGGTCACTCTGGTGGAGGGCTTTCTGCTGCCTTGAAGGACCTGCTGGACAGCAACCAAGCACTCCTGCTCCTCTGTATTTAACCATGCAGCAGCCACACCATCAGGTGCAGCACCGCCAGGTTCAGATGCAGAAGACTACAGTGGTTTTGGAACAGCAGGACTGACCTGAGCTACAGCCGTAACAGAGCAACCACCGAGAGGTCCAGCAGCGTGCCGAACCAGTGCTGGTGCAGCCAGGCCAGTGATATGACAATTACCGTCACCCTGTCCTGCTCGATTTTCATGAGGACTCCGAGAATCAGCGGCACCGGACCGAAGCCGTATAAAAAAGCCCCTGACCACGGGAGCAGAAAAGCATCTGACAGGGAGCCTCTGTCAATCCCCCAAATCAAGCAGGAAACATGGCATTTCTTGTTCTGTCTGGACGCGAACAAGTCCACCCAGGGAGTTCCCTACTTCTGGAAGATGAAGCTGGTCACCTCCTGATGGAGGGACTATTCGTGGCGAGACAAGAAGATCCTGTTGAGGCGATCTGCCAAGGCATTCCTGGCCCCGGGGAGGTGTGCGGCTATGAGATGGATGGCGTGTTGTACACAGAAGTTCCAGAGCTGGAGGGCTTCCTGGAAAAGTGCAGATGACCTGGTCCCACCTTGCCTGTCGATACAGAACACAGCTGCAGTATTGTCTGTCAGGACCTGGACTACCCTGCTTTTTATGTGAGGTAGGAAGGCTTGATAGGCCAGGTCAAACTGCTCTGAGCTCTCTGACATTGATGTGTAGGGAGAGATCGTGACTCGACCAACAACCCTGCATGCTGAGATAGCCCAGGCTGGCTCCCCACACTAGGTCTGGAGACGAGGGTCATGGATGGGGATGGAGCTGTGAAGGGAACCCCCTCCAACACCAATGCAGGATTCTGCCATCATGTGAGTGATGACAGTAGGTGTATGACCGGAGTCCCAGGGGAGCCAACTGAGGTCACTCAATTAGGGTGAACTGCAAAGAATAGGGCAGACAATACCCAAAGCTGGATATTTCAGCTGGTGTAATATTCCAATACTTAGATTTACCAAGTCAGCACAAAACAGCTTCTATATTACCTCACTGGTTGCCAAGAAGCCAACAACACAGTTCACTTGCAGTAACCCAGCTGTAGGCCTCCACCTAGACACCCAAGTCAAATATGAGGAGGATTACTGAAAATTTTATACATCACATAAAAAACTTCTACCAATCTCAAAGGATCGGATACATTACCTCCCAGGTTAATGAATATTCTAGAACTTACCCAAATACACGGTTACAACCAATTATTATTAACTAAACTAGAATTTATTAAAAAAAGAAAAGAGAGTATGGTTAAAAGATCAGTATACATACAGACTTGAGTACAATCTTGAGATTCAGATTCATAGCAGAGATGGTGAGCTTTGTAGATGCAAAGAGTTTTTTCAGAAATAGTACACAGGTTATAGACCAATGTTTACATTCAGGGTGGTCCAGTCAGCGCTGGGATCTCAGTTCCTATGGCTTAGGCTTCTGCTGCATGAAACCTCAAGCAGATCTGCGATAAACAGGATCAGGACCCACGCCATTTTTTACACAGTTTCAGGCCTTCTTTGACAGCTTGGAGTCCTTCGGCGAACAATAGGCATTCATGGGAACTTTGAAGTGGACCCATTTCCTAAGCATCATCGGTAATTATCCACACAGATTAACATAAGGCAATTGCCTGTTTTTCCACCCTTCACAGATGATTTCAAAGAGAGATGATATCCTATGTTTCCAGTTATTTAAATGTTAAGATGTCCTCTTGATCTCTGAATTAACAGAATACAGCATAGACAGGGACTGTTTGATTACATTGTTGACCATTACCAATATATATGTAAATATACAAAAACACAACATTATCTCCCCATATGTCTTTAAGGGTTGAATTTGAGTCATTTATCCTGCGGGACCCTAACCCTAACCCTTTCCGGTCATGCATTACAGTGTGGTCTGGGACCCTGACCATAATGTCCATACTGTGTCTGCTAGGGACGTAGACTGATACCAGCCACGCCTGCAGGGGCCTGAGGCAGAGCCATGTGTGCCGGACCATGTAAGTGCAGGTCACCATGTGGCTCAACAATCGTAGGCACGCGTGAGCACTGGTGAGAGGCTGGGTTTGCATGCACAAGATCATGTCTGCTATGGTTTGGAACCGAGCTTCAGGGAGGAAGGCTCTGGCCTGAGTAGAGTCGAAGACCGTTCCAATTAACTCTATGTGTTTTACAGGCATTAAGGTTGATTTTTTTCTCGTTTATCAACAGCCCCTGGTCATGACAGATGGAGCAAACTGCAGGGTGTAGCCCGAAGATATTACGTCGAGCATCCAACGGTCTGAGGTCAGCCACGACCAGGATGATCGGAAGGGGCACAGGCGGTTGAGGAAAGAGTAGGGGGGTGGATCCTGGGAAGTGACTGGGGCACCGTCCTCAGGGGCATCCTCAAAACACCTGCTTCTGGCTTCCTTGGCCAGAAGACCCAGGCTAGACGGAGGAATGGGAAGACAAAGGGTGACGCCATTTAAATCCTTTGTCTCTGTCCTTCTTTCTGTAGGAGATGGACCGGGGGACATCCCAGGACCAAGATGGAGGCAGAGGTGACAGGGGACGGAAATGCTTTCTAGCCTGCTGAGGGGTGTGAAGGCCCAAAGAATGGAGGGTGGCACGGGAGTCTTTAAGGTCATGAAGCCATGCTCTGGTCAGCTCCAAAAAGAGCCCTGCTCCCTCAAATGGAAGGTCCTGAAAGGTAGTTTGCATCTTCTGCTCAAAGGACAGCTCAGAGGACTATAACCAGGAGCTGTGCCTCATGAGTGACCACCACAGAGGTGACTACCCTGGTTGCCGAATCCGTAGTGTCCCAGGCCATCTGAAGGGTGCCTCTCACCACTGCTTTGCCCTTGTCCACCAAGGCGGTGAACTCCTGGTCTCGGTCCTGTGGGAGGCCCTCCTTAACCTTGCTGATGGAGTTCAACAGGTTGAAGTTGTACCTGCCTAGCAGGGCCTGAGAGTTAGACACCCAAAATTGCAGGCTGGCTGTCGAATAAATTTTCCTGCCAAACAAGTCCAGCCTCTTGGCATCTTTATTTTTTGGCGTGCCACTCACCTGTCCCTGCCTGTCCCTTTCATTGACAGTGGACACGACCAGAGATCCTGCTGGAGGGTGGGTGTACAGGGACTCAAATCTCTTTGCGGGGACATAGAACTTCTTTTCTACCTTGTTGGAAGTAGGTGGAATGGAAGAGGGGGTCTGCCACACAGATGTGGCAATTTTAATGACCCCAGGTAGATCGGCAATGCAACCTGGGCCGGGGTGGAGGAGGGTCTAACATTAAAGAGGTCATCTGACTCCTCTGCTAGTTCCTTGACCTCCAAGTTCAGGTTGGCAGCCACCCTTCTGAGCAGGGCCTGGTGCTCCTTGAAGTCGTTGGAGGGGCTATTCGTTTGCAAGGGGCCAGCCACCGCTTTGTCCGGAGACGACAAAGATGACTGCACAGCAGGGAAAGGAGCAGTTTCCCCTTGCTTGTCCAGGAGTGGCTCCTTGGGCGTTGGGGCCCACTGTGTTGCCTGCACATTGGCTTCAGTACTGTGTTCCGACTCATGTGCTGGCTGTGCTGGGGGCAGCTTGTCCAATGCAGCCTGGGAGGAAAGGTGGCAGTACGGGACCAGCATAACAGGTATACCCCATGGGTTTCAGTACTGCCATCGAGCGGGCCATTGCCCCTGCCTTCACACCACCATCGCCGTAGGAGCCATGCTGGTCTTGCGGGCCGGTAGTGATCTGCCTTTTATAGGTGAGGGACTGAGCTTCCCTTCAGGCTCAGACCATTGCCCTTCCAGTGACCAGAGCAGAGCTGTAGATGCCGGAGTCTGCCAACTGACCCTCGTTGGCGACCGGTAAGGAGAAGGTGATGACTGGTGCCTGCCCGAAGAGCGATACTGGGGAACTGGAGACCAGTGCTGTGACCAGGAATGATCCCATACTGGGGGGAAATTGATGCCTGGGAGACTGCCTAGGCAATGGTGATCTGCACAGTGGTGAACTCTGGCAAGAGGCCAGACGGTACCATGGGTATGAGAATTGGTGTTACGACTCAAGTGTCCCGTGCCTTGCAGGCGGAGACCTTGGCATCAGGGACCTGTGTCTTCTAATCTGGGACTGAGGCTGCGGTGCCAGGGTCCGAGGCCGGGGTGATGGGGACCGATGCCTGCAGTCCAGTGATCAGGGATGCTCTGCTGCTTTAGGGGGCAATCCCATAACCGACCCATAGATGCCGGGGCCTTGGCCAGGTCTGTTGCCTGGCTTGGCGTCTTCAGTGATGATTGGCCTGCCTCCTCTTTGGCTGCTGGGCCCGCTTTGGGCACAGATGACCCTACTAGGGGCTGGGACTCCCTGCCGCTCCCAGGAGTTGGGGATGGGACCCTGGCTGGACTAGGGGGTCCCACTGCAGCGATACTCCCAAGCAGCTCCGAGGTGGGCACGTGGCCTGACACAGGTCCTTTGCAAAGCCCCCTTTTTCTGCGGTGCTGGCGGGCCAGTCGACTTCAACTGCTTCTTAGGCACCGAGAAGGGGGAACGGTGCTGGGAGGGTTCTGGTGCCGGTGGTGCACTGCGTGCTGACGCTGAGATTCTGGGCGTAGAGTCTGATCGAGAGGGCTCCGAGGTCAGATGAAACGCAGCCTCCAGGAGGGCCCTCAAGTGGATATCCCACTCCTTCAGAGTTTGAGGGCAAAAGTTTTTGCAGATCCTGCATTTATCCTTTCTGTGGGACTCCCCCAAAGCACTTTAAACAGCTCTCGCGGGGGTCACTAATGGGCATTTGCCGGTTGCACGATGAACATGGCTTAAACCCTGTGGAACGGGACATGCCTCATTCCGGGACATGCCCCATTCTCAGGCAAGGTCTCAGCTGGGATTCTAACTCCTAAACAATTATTCTAACACTTAACTTAAAGGTCTAAGTACCTATCAACTATGAACAAAGGAGACTGAACAATGGACTGTAAGAACAGCTAACACTCTTGTGATGCAAGACAAGGAGGCGCGACCAAGCATCATGGGTGGTAAGAAGGAACTGAAAGAGCATAGGGTTGGCAGTGCCTAATATATCAACACATGAACACTCAAGAGGGTGCTACCGCCAACCCTATGGATACCGCTAAGGCAAAAATCTCCAACTATGTACATGGGCGGGCACGCACACACCTAGAATGGAATCGGCATGAGCAAGTGCTCCAGACAGTCTGTGACAGGGTGGACTAGGCCCTGAGGCCCCTGCTGGAGACCAAACTACCTCAGAAAAGGGTAGTGGAGAGGGTCCTCCTAGTTGCTTAGAGAGGCAGCATCAGACACAGCCAATCAGGAAAGAGGCTGCAGGGATCAGCCGATCCGGGTCCAGCAGGCTTGTATAAAAGGAGCTGAGGGACAGAGTCAGACTGTGGGATCAAGAGGTGCTCCTGGCTGGCTGCAGGGGCTGAAAGAAGCTGGACAGATTAGTTGCTGTCAGGGACAGTGAGAGCCAGAGAACAGCTCTTGGTTCTCTCCTGGGACTAAGCAGGTAGTTACTGGCAGGGACCAGGGGAGCGAGGAAGGAGCTGCTGGCTGGCTGCTGGGACTCAAAGATGGGCTACAGGGAAGTGGCCCAGGGAACCATAGAGCAGCAATTAATAAAGGGACAGAGCATGAGGCTGCTATACTTAAAAGGTCCCAGGGTTGCGACCCGGAGCAGTGGGTGGGGCTGGGTCTCCCCACCACCCTCCAGACACTAGGGGAAGTGGCTACGCCCTAAGGAAGAGAATTAGAACTGTGGCAACCCAGGGAATGACTCAGCAGGGAGCTGTGGTCAGTGAAGTGAGTCCAAGAGGGATGGCTCAGCAGGAAGGCTGGGATCACTGAGGACTCAAGGAGATGCAAGGAGCCCCCAGGGAGGAAGCCATAGGAGGGCTGTTCAATACCAAAGTAGGAACCTTGCAACCCAGCTGGACCATATGAGGGTACCCTGACGGGCCTTGTTGGACTGTTAAAGACTGAGCCCAGTGCTTAAGGACGTTTTGGACTGTGTACCCCGGAAGGGGCTTGTTTGTTATGTACATCGACAGAGTGTGACTCAGCCAGAGGGCTGAGTCACCAAAGACCTGCCTGACAAGTGCAGCGGCTGACAGAGGCACCATGAGCGGAGGAAAAAACTGCAGGCACAAATGCACTCAACCAGGGGGCTCTTGCATGAGGTGAGTGCAAACCATTACACCATCTAACTTCAGTCTCTGGTCAAAAGTAAAGCTTTGCCATCACAAACATGAAGACTGTGATGCAGTATTATATAGTTTAAAGACATACAAGTGAATCTTAAAATAAAATTCATGGGGCAGTTAAGCTTTCACAGAATTTATTTAGACTTAAAAGGAGGTTATGTTTTCTTTTGGTCTGGGCAAAACAGCTGTGGGGGCAGCACCACAAGAAGATGATCTACTGCAGTGCAGCTGGAAGTATGGCTGGCAGGGTCACAAGACGACTGCCCACAACCATTTGTCCATCACAGCATTCTTTCATCTGTTCCCAAGAAAGGAAATTGCCCCAGGAGCATGGGGACAAGAAACTAAAACTGAGGAGGGCTGCAATTCTGCAAACAAACAATTTAAAGGAGGAGTCATGAGCACACATATTCCCAATGAGGGAAATCTGCAACTTGCCCCTATTAAAAATCTTGGCCAAGAAAGATAGCAACAACCTTTTTCAAGCAGAGTAGGATGGCAATCTTTAAGATATGCTATATACATCAGACCTTAACTCAGAACTTCCACTAGAGATGAGAAAAGCTGTTTATTGTTCTTATTTTGGATGATAGCTCTGTTATCCATGTCATGAGCTGAAGAGATCTCCTGTCTGTCATAATGTCCTGAACAAGGCAATAAATAAGTCCAAGAGTATTATGCAACTTCGAAGAAACCAGCAGGCACATAACAAAAAGCCAGAAAATTGTAGACCCAACATGTATTCCGACCTTAGAATCTTGGCTTCTATTAGTTAAAATTTATATATTTTCAATACTATCCCCAGAGGAACATTACTCCCGAGGTAGGAAGAACATCTCTTGCATGAGGTAGTGACTCCAAATTTCCATTAGAAGAGGTATCCCACAGTAACTATTTTCCCCCAGGAGCTAGAACAATTATTAAATATAATTAGGAACTGAAGATGGGAGAGACTCTGAACTCCTCCACAAAAGCCCCTGTTGGGTGAATAGCAATGATTGGCCTCCATAATCTTCCTTTGTTTTCAAGGCCTCTGGCTTGCACAGGCACACACTGAACTACTTTTTTATCGGTCTCATAAGGCTGTAAAGAGTAATGCATGTTGTATTTTCAGAGACTTTTTAAAGTTTTGGGAGCTTCCGATAAAATCTGAAGCAAGTATCCCCTTTCTCTGAGGAGGGAGAGGCCTTAGGTTCTCATCTTCTGCAAGACTCCAAATGAGCCCCAATATAGATAAGATCTCCAAGTCTATGCTTTCTGGACATATCAAATCAGGATGCATCTCGTCAGCAAAAAGCCTTTATTATTTTTCCAGCATTAGCTGAAGACTGGGGAAAGCCCACTTGTACACTAATACCAAACTTGCTATCCCAGGCAGTAAAACCACCCTAGGAAATAGAGAGGAGCTGAGGTAGATCTTAGACAGCATCCCTTTAATTCTTGGTTCTTTTCCCAGGGTTCATGCTCCACTGATGCACTGCACTGCATATCTGGGCTTCCTTCAGCCTACTGTAAGAAAACCTTTACACCTAGTTGAGTTGAAAGAGTGGGATCCTACAGTAGCAACCTATATAATTCAAATTCCCTAAGCATAGGCAGCAGAGGCAGAGAAATGAATGCAGACCTTACCCCTGCAATGGTAGGCTACAGCTTTCAATGGCACTACAAACATTTTCTCTGCTATCTTTTAGCTGTTGGCCCATAACTGATCCAAGGAGAGGCTCCAAACAGAAATGACAAAGCTCAGCAGAGCTGCAACTACTGCTATTGTCCTCCCACACTGCAGCGTGGGAAACCAGTTTTGGAGGTTCCAAAACATCTGAAGTTGTATAATGTAAAGAGCAAAAGGGAATAAGTGATCGATACCACATTGGAAAAAAGTAAGAATGCAGACAGTGGCTTCTACTGGAAACATGGACAAGCACTTAACTGTACCATCACTAGAGGGTGCTGTGTCATTATAACAGTTGCATTCTTGCTCCCAAACCATGACGTTTTTACAGCCAAAAAAATATGGGTATGGGTAAAGTTACATGAAACCTAGAACACGTATTAACAGCTCTTCCTTCCCCAACTACTAGTCCCATGATTTTTAATGAAACACCAAATAGTAGCTATAGAGGCGTTAATGATAAATGCAACAACTCCAAATGATAATTCATGCCTGCCCAAGAGATGGAAAATAAGACTGGATTGTTATCAATTTTTGACTTACTAAACTGTTATAATAATTTGATTAATACTGGTTTACTGGCTAAGGGTTGAGAATCATTCCTCTCCCACTTAGGATTTTAACTTGCAAAAGGGAAGTGGAGGAGCAAGTCTCAAGTTTCAGCCAGCAAGCAGAGATGGGATGGGAAAAAAGAAAAAAAAAAAAAAAAAGAGAAGAGAAAAGAGGGCCAACCAATAGAAATGATCATACAAAGCCCACTTTCAGGTGACTCGTGTCACCCTAATGTCAGTCCTCCTTTAATCACTTTTACTGTAGCAGAAAGGGAAATGGGTGAAGCTTAGTCCTGGGATAGAATTGGTGATCACATTTATTCAAGCAAATAACTTGTAAAAATATTGTGATAAATTGTTCCATGGTTGCCCCTCTGAAAAAAAAGGAGGAACAATACACTGGAGAGAAGAATGGGAAATCCATTTAGGACATTACAGTGGACAGCAGTAAAAGGGAATTAGGTGGTTATGAAAAGATCTTTAGCATATGAGTATCTTCTCTGTGGACCATTTCCATTTACTATTACATTCAATCCCATCATTCCAAGACATGGAATAATCTATTAATTTAATAAACCACAGTGGTTTTTAAAATAAAAACTATTATACTAGATGCCAGATTGCAAGCCCCTTACTCACACTGGTAAGAAGTTACTCACGAGTAGTTCCACTGAAGTCAATGAATTTGTATAAATAACTGCTCACCGATGTTAGTGAGGCGCTCACAATCTGTCTCCAAGTAAAAACAGGAAAGTCAGATGTGCCTAAGAGACATGGATTTTTTAACTTGGATCATAGTCAGGAATCTCTGGTGTGGGTTGTGAAGGGGATATATCACATTTATGTCTTATAGTGATTTTCATACACCCTGATTTTCTTAATTATTTTGTGCATGTTGACAGTTACATTAGAAGTTTGTTTAAAAGACAGATATAAGTGATTCTTTTTTAGCTTTGCATGGGACTAAAGAACAACTTTTCAGTTTACAGTTCAGTCTTGTAGAAGCTTATGATATGCAAAATACTAGCAGTAATTTTTTAAAATGGTGGTATGCAGTCCAAGAGACAATAATTAGTTACTGACTTCAAGGATCCTGTTAGGCTGCATCCTGTAATACATTCCACTTGCAAAGAACTCAGCCAATGCAGATCAGTTACATCATTTTCAGTCAGTTATGGCACTGACAGTCAAAGCTGTCTCTTTACAGTTTAAAGAGAGACTGGTGACTGACTTAATCAGTCGATTTAAAAAAGAATTTAAGATGATTATTATGGGCCAGAGACCACTATCTTTATGCACACTGAATAATATCTTATTTCATGAGCAGTCTGATACAAATGGGACTACTTATGGAATAAGGTCCTACTCATTGTGAGAAAGAATGTAAAAACTGGCTCTAAATATCTGTATTAATAAACCACCATAGCAAGGAATTTCTCCACATCCCTTTTGGAGTTCTTAAGGTTCATATTTCTTCCACTCTACACCTATGAAGCCTTGAAGCCTTGCGTGGCAGCAATGTTATTTCTGTCAAAAGACCTGGCACAGGACTTAAAGTGGGGAACTCTGTGAAGATTTAAAACATGTTACCTAACTCCTCTGTACCACTCTAGATACTATAGTGACAAGCACACTTATAAATGCTTAATCAGTCAGTTTCTTCATCTGCAAAAGCGGGATAATAATCCTTACTTATCTTTGTAAAGTATTTTGAGACATAGGCCTTGATTTTCAGATGTGCTAAGCATTCACATCTCCAAATGAAATCAACAGGAGCTGCAAGTACTCAGAATCTCTGAAAATCAGGTCCCTACTGTAGAAAAGTGCTATTAAGTACTAGGTATTATTATTTATCTTTTGGAGCTCATCAACACTGCTTTAAGAGTGAAATTTGCCCCGATGCAGAGGACCAGCACAAGGTCTAAGTACTATGTACAAGAATCTCCTTAGCTTTCCCCCCAGAGGGTAAGAGACGCCAGACATGCCCAGTTATCTACATGCAAGGTGGGGAGTGGACATATATATAGGCTCCTGTTTCTTAGTCCTTGTAAGGGGGAACCATGCCCTTTGCAGGCCTTCTTAAGTCTCTTCTGATGGGGACTCAAAAGGAAAATTAAGTATTTCAGTGTACCCAAGAATAACTTCTTCCTGGGGCCAACAGTACCTTCTTAGTTCTGGGCTATCTGCGCAGCAGATTGCAAGGAGTCCTTCCAGCTGGGCTGCTGAATCTGGCCCACTTTGTCAGGCTTTCCATGGGAGTTTGCTGGGCTCCCCACAGGTCCTGGATGGAGATCTCCTGGACAGTAGTTCCCCCTGTGGCTTCAGTTTCCTGCTCAGGGTGATCTCTCTCCCCTGCTGACTACAGTTTCCTCTTTTTTAAAGGCCTGCTCCCTACAATACATAATTGACAGGGCCAGAGGAGCAGGGCTAGTCCTGCACATAGGGCGTCTCTGGCACTTTTGTCATCAGTGTGGGGTCTATACACCCCATCACATTGTGTTTGGAGAGCTTACGGGGTTAGTAATAGTATATAGACTTTGCGCTGAACTTCTCTACATTCATGCCCAATTCTGATAAATCTAGATATTCACTTGAACTTTTAATTAAAATTTGAAAAGTGACATGTCTGCCCACCACACCTGCAATGAGTGCTCCAATTGTCTGGGTAGGCTTCTGGCAGGATCATTAACATTTTATTACAAAGAAAAAAAAGATTCTCAGTTCCTCAGCCATGGTAACATGTCTATCTGCTCCAGTGGGAATATTCTATTGTAAACAAAAATGCTCAGACAACTAGACATTTAACGCTTAATTTCAGAAAAGACTCTCATCTTGAGAAACAGAACATCCGAAGGACAGTACCACTACCACAGCTCGGGGAGGAAGTGCTTTCTAACAAACAACAGTGAATAAAAATGCAACTGCAGTCTCATTTTGGTCAAAACAAGAACCTCACAGCTTCTTCTTACAGTCTTGCTCAAATAACTACATTCTAACGTGAAAAGAGATGTAACTGGGAACAGTTACTAAACTATACACCAGCAGGTCTCACTGTAGTCTCTGAGGCATTTGCTAATTGTCTATGGAGAGCTCACTGGTCACATGATGCCTGCCCTCCTCTTGGTTTCCATCTGCCAAATCCCATTCAAAGGAAACTAAAAATACAATACTTTACTAACATAAACAATTGCTGTAGTTGCGGCAGGGATGTTATATGATCACAAATGGGAGGGGAAGTCGGTCCATGCAATCAGAAATGGGAGGAGAGATGTCCATGAAACAATCTCTCTATTAAGTTGTGAGCTACGTTGTGAAAAAAAGTTTAAAAATCTCAGTTCTTTACATTAAACATCACATATAGAAAGAAGCAGATGAACAGCACTTATCTATAAAATGAATAGGAAGCAGAGATGCATCTTTGGTAAAACATGAAGTTCCCTCACTTTACAAGCCAGTCACACTAAAGATGACTGTGTTATCATAAATCAATAAAAGCAAGACAACTAATGGCCCGTTTTATGTTGACACTGTGCTCAGTACCTGAGTATCTCAAGCTCCGCCAGCCCCTTTATTGTCATGATCTTTTAGGTTGTTGAATAAAGCTGTCTTACCTTCTTCAAGGCTGATACTCAGCAACACTTTCAGATTGCTGGCGGTTGTTTTCTGACTGGGGTTACATTTTAAATCTTCACTGGGTCAGATTCTGATAATTATCATGCATGTAATTTTTCACAGGCTTGAATTAAGTTGGTGGTTTTATTTCAGCTGCTTATTAGTAGCAGCTCTTCAAGGTTCTAGTTGAAAGAAGAGAGTTTCCTGGAATATCAGACAGCAGCGTTTCACTGGTACTACTTACTCTGTTGTTTTGTACACATCAGAGTACAGCCCCGCCTTCTGGTACTTCTTCTTTGGGGGCCTAGGAGCCTTTTTCTCACGCTGGGTAAAAGTAGGCAAATGCTGCTCAGTGTTTTCAGATTCATGTGCCTTCCCTATGGCTTCGAGGTGACTAGGTGATTCAGTTGATGTCTCAGAAAAGCTGGAAGAAAATGTAAAGATGAACTTATTTCACCAGTATTATTCTATATTGTACAAAGAAGCCCAACAAAGAAGTCTCTGAATGGCCAGATGACTTTATCATATTAAAACTTTTTTTTGCCAATTTTTGCAACTGAGACAGGATATTTTACAAGTAACAATTAACTTTGTACAAAAACAAGAAATCAACTTTATTGGAGTGTAAAGCACAAAGTAACTTAAATATCTGTTTTATATATGTATAATCATAAACAAGTGTCTAGCAGTCTGTGCATGTATATACAAATAGGCACATATGCTCACACCATGTTACTAAATTTCTCCAGCCTACAGAGAGAAATATTTAAAACTTTAGAACTAATTTCATTTCAACGTAAATTCATTTTTGGTTCTGGAAACAGTAAGCTGTTTGTTAACAAACTGAGGAAGTTATTCAGCACTCCTCCAGAATTTTAAGATGATTATTTTCCTCATAGTCATGAAGACCTAGGGCTTGATTCTCTCTCATTTATACTAATATATATCAGAAGTGACTCCACTAAAGTCAATGGGACAACCCCATGTTGGTGAGTGTAACTGAGGGTATGTCTACTCTGCAAATGAAGGTGTGACTGCAGTGCAGGTAGGCATACCCATGCTAGCTTTAGTCTAGTTAGCATGGGTAACAGTAGCAGCGAAGACACAACGGCACAGAACCCAGGGTGGGCCAGGAACTTGAATACATACCCAGAATGTCCACCAAAGCCTGCACCGCCACATCCATACTAACAATGTTACTTACGCCAATTAGATTAAAGCTAGAGTGGGTACACTTACCCGTGCTGCAAACACCCCTTCATTTATGGTGTAGACGTACCCTGAGAGGATAATCAGGTCCTTAGTTTCTAAACAGGGCTTGACGTAGTCTCTATGAAATGCCCTGATGATGGAATAATATTCAATTGTTATAAAAACTGGGTATTAAACATAGGGTATGTCTACACTGCATGCCACTGGTATGTAGGGTATTTTTTGCTACATGCTGTGGTGAAAAGCAGGCTGCACTCATGCTGCAGTATCTAGCTACACACATCAGGGAAAGACTTAGCAAGGTGGAGGCAGCAGCGAAAGGCTCTGTCAGCAGGAAGCTGCCAGAGCCTTTGTACACTGCCTCCTTGCTCCCAGAGTCTTTTCCTTGCTGCTGAAGCCTTTCCCTGTGGCAGAGAAAGACTCCAGCAGTGGGGAGGCAGCAAGACATCAGATTGCTAAAAATAGCAGTATAGACAGGTGAGGCATTGCTTGGGTGCGTAGAGTACATACCCACAGGGTTCCTATTTATACCTGGACTAAAGGGCACGCAGTGTATGTACTCCACTCACCACCACAAGGAGTGTGCAATGTAGATGTGCTCATAATGGTCTTATCCACACCTGACCCATTTCAGAGTTCTCTATTTTGATGGGCTTGGTCTGCAACCCCATACAATATAGACTACTTTAACCTTTGTTTCTAAAGCTATTGTAAAAGTAAGAATGGCAGCTTGCTGCTGCATAGGTTGAATTATTAGCTAATGAATGTCTGAAGCAGATGCTGACCCAGTACGGCCATTCTTATGATGTTATTTTAAGCAATGCAAAGTCTTGCTACCTTAAGAATCAAATAAGGAGCAACTTGTGATCTGTGGTGTTATATACAAACGCTAACAGTAAATACTGCCTGGCCAACACATCCTGGACCAGTGATGGGGAAAGTTCTACACATATCTTACTGAGGGATACAGAGAAATACTGGAACTGAGATTTGTCCCTCTGTTGGTGAAGACTAACTGATGTAGAATTTAGCTTTCCCACATAAAGGAATTAGGTGGAGCTGTTGAAGTGCCATGGTTATGACAGGGTTCTATTTTGCACTTAAAAAAGAGTTCAAACTCTTTTTTTTGTATGAAAAAGACAGTATATCTGCCCCAATTTTTCTGTACATAACTTCTGTATAAAACTTATATTTGAAAATCCTCAGAAAATTCATCTGTTAATTTTTGGTTTCTAATCAGTTTAAAATTGGCCTAAAAAGTTCACATTACTAAGTTTCACGATAATTTGGGCCCCTCTAGGATAAAAACTAAAAACACATTTTTAACATTCTACAATGAGAGTTTGGAGGTCTGGGGTAAATGTAATTTGTAGTTAATTAAACACAAACAATTATTAGCATTATTTGTCATAATTTAATCTTTATTTTCTGCAGTTAGCTGATGAAAATAATGGTTTATGTTATCTACTTCCACTGTCCAGTGCAGTATGTGGACACCTTTTTGAGCAGTTTAGGAAAGGAGTAAAACTACCTTTTGACATATGCCCCCAGTTATGTTCCCTGCATCTGAAATTGGGTTATGCCCACCTTCCAGCACCCTCTTCCCCAAACATAAGTGGGCATGATTTTCCAGAACTGTGCAGAATAGAGAGTAAGGAAAAGTTTGAGGCAAATGTGGTCTGTTTGTGGTGGTAAGTTTGGGGAAGGAGGTACTGGAAAAGTGGTATTCCTTTTGGGGAAGAGTTATATTTGTGGTCATCATCATAGCTTATCACTTCATTGTCAGTGATGTACAGTGACTGCTCTAGTGGTAAGGTGTATGCCTTAAATTTTCTTTGCTTCTTGGTTTTATGTTGGGTATGTCGTATACAGATTGTCCTTAACTGACACAAAATGTAGTGGTTTTATATATTAATTTATATTGGGCATATGCCACACTTGAAGAAAATTCAAGTCAAAGACCTCCCTGATGCATGGAACTGTTATTTTCACTTCTTCACTGGGTGGTGTAGGGACAATCTTTGTTATAACCTTTCTGTCACCTGAACTGTCAACTATAATTACAATAGCCTAAAAATATTCTTTGCTAATCAGTCAGACAAATAATTTCCATTAATTGCTCCATCTGAAGCACAAGCCCAGAAGGAGAATAGGTTTCTCCAAGATTTTCTGTATCCAGTGTTTGCAAGTCTGAATGTTAGAATTACTGTACTTTAGATGCCCTCTCATTTTGGTGAGTCATATTCAATAGTTTAAAGATCCTATCTGAGATACCTTAAAGAGTGCTGATTTTAAGAAAGCGTTGGGCACCCCCCTTCTGAAAATCAAGTCCCTTTAAGGTTTCTCAAATTGGGCACCCTAATATTGAGGCACCCCAAAACAAAAGTTACTTCTAAAAATCTGAAAACCTAACTCCCTAATGGCAGTTCCTCCAGGTCCAGGCTGAAGCACACTGGTAGAGCAATGAATGGGAAATGTATCTATTAAGGTACTTATATGGCTTTCATCATCATCATATCTGAAAGCATTAATTAATTTTATCCTCAGAGGCAAGTTTTATCCCTATTTGTAAATCTGAGGCACAACACAGATTCAGTAATTTGCCCAAGGTTACACAAGAAATCCACGGCTGAGCCAGGAATTTAACCCAGGTCTCCTAAGTCCAAATTTACCAACCTTTCTCCCTACAGAGCTACTGCTGCCTCCAGTACTATAGAGAAGAAAATTACTTTGATATTAGGGCTACTGATTTAGCACTTTTAATGAACACTAAATTCACTTTAACAAAAAACAAAATTTAAAAAGAAGTTATAACTTAAAAATAGCACACGCTGATTCCCTCTGAATTGATTCCCTCTGTCAGAGAAATGCACCTAGCAGTGTATGTAAGATGGGGGATGGAATAGTTGAAGTTCTGGAGAAACACATTTCCTACAGGTTTCAATTGCCAATTCTTTGAAGGTACAGAAATGTAAAGGAATTACCTTTTATTACTCTCCTGCTCATCTTCTGGTACAGACTTCTGTTTTTTCCTGGCCTGTTCCTCTGTAAGCCATCTCTTCCTCTTCCACCCTTTTCTGTGCTCTGCGTTCAAGTTCACACTCTGTACTACAGCTTCGATTACATCTGTGATAGTATCAGGTCCAAGGTGTAAAGTGTTGCTCTCTTTCCTTCCCTCTAACTCCTGACTGACAAACCGAGCTGCCTGGAAAGCCTGCATTGAAACTACAGCCTGTAGTGGGTATTTCCGGGGCCTGCCTGGCTTGCGCTTCACAAAGTTATTCCCTGTTCGTGACTGCCTTTGCAGCTTTTTGGCTTTTAGAATTTTATTGACGTGGTCCAGATTTTTCTTGGTTGCCAAAATCTTGTTGTAACTACACATTTTTCTAGCCTGTCGCTGCATAGCTTCAACCACACTTCTCTTCAGATGATGTGGGGAGAAGCTGCTTGGTAATCTGTCTGAAAGAAGTGAGATGCCATCATTGCAAGAGTCACTTGGAACTGCTGGAACTAACAGACTGTCCTGTTTTCCCAGGACTCTCTCTCTGTTGTGGTTTCGACCAGGGCTAGCTGAAGGTGGAACAGATACATTTGCAATGACTGCTTCTATGGTTTTGTCCAGTGCAGCCTGGCTGTCATGTTGTGCCATGCGCTGCAGTAAACTATCCACTGAATCATCTACAGCAATCCCCAGTTTTGCTCCTCGTGTGGGTATTCCAATCACTGGAAAACACAAATAAACATAAGCATACTAGAACAGATTTTAGTTATGATCATCACTAAATTCTATGAGGTTTAAAACAAATTCCAATGGCTACATGTCCCCCTTGATCTCAAAATACTAAGGAGATATTGCCAAATTTTAATTTCTTATAATAAAGCTTCCAATAATTACACATTGTAAAGATACTTGTTTTTGTAACAAAGTCTTACTAGGTAGGAGGACTAGGGATGGAAGTAAGAGGGGTACCTGCATTCTGTCCTATGAATTTCTTTCACATTTTTCTTTTCTCTTTGATCTAACCAGATCAGCACACCTTGTTTTCCCTCTTCATTTTCTTTCAGGGCAGAATGATAAAGGCATTGTCAATTAAAAAAAAGCCTGGAAGGATGCATTAGTCTGCAGCAGTAAAGTGCTTAAGAGTATGCCACTTTTCTTCTTATGTTCTGATCCTGAAAACACTTGTGCACATGAATTCAAGTGTGAAAGTGTTTTCAGGATTGGGGGGCTTTGAATTGTAAGCTCTTCAGGGTAGGGATCATGTCTTTGTATGTGTTTGTAAAGTACCATGAAAGGGGATGATCCAAACCGTTATCATAATTATAGCTGTTCCTCCCTACCCCTGCTTAGATGGTGATCAGCATTTGGAATCTTGTCTCCAGAACTGCCTGCAGAATCCAATATATTAGAATTTAAATAAAGAAAAATTACTTGGACACCAAGGATGCCCTGGAAAGTAAGTTGGGTAGGACTCAGGATCACAAACACTGGGGAAAAAGGACTGCTATTGTTGGGTTCAGAAACAAATTTTCCCCAGTTGGATCAATTCCTATACAAATAACAACATTCTCAGAAATTCTGTCAACACATAATTTAAACGCTGATCAAATGTTAAGCACTATTTCAAATCATTAGCTACACTGCTAATGACACTGACTGTGCATTAAGGAAATAACCTGGAATACCTGGAGAAAGCAGCAAGATCATTTACACAGGAAACAAACTTAGCTTATTTTTTAAACAACATGAATGCTATTCTATGTGCTTTGCATCTTCATCTTTACACTGTTACTTGGAAGAGAGAGTTCCAGATCAGCCATGCTGTTTATGCAGTATAAGAAAGGATTTGTTCCAAATGAACTATTTCCCAAAGATGCCCTGTTGGTTTTTACAGATAAGATTTATTAGAAGAAACTCTGCTCTCTATGGAATAACAGGAATGCTCTTAGTCTTCTCATAAATATATTTCAGTTACAAATTTGCATTTAAAAATGTTACAGTAATTATTGCCAATTATTGAGATTACATCTACTTAAACGGCTGGCAGGTAAGACAGTAGAGTGTCTTTTGGTGTAAGCATAACTTTTAAAGGAAAGACACCATGAAGCATTGCTGTCAACAAGGTTTGTATTTTCTGGCAGGAGGGAGATTGTCTGTTAGCTCAGTGGTTCTCAATGAGGGGTACATGTATCCCTGGGGGTAAACAGAGGTCTTCCAGAGGGTACATCAACTCATCTAGATATTTGCCAAGTTTTACAACAGGCTATATAAAAAGCACTAGCGAAGTCAGTACTACAATTTCATACGGAAAATGACTTGTTTATGATGCTCTATATACTATATCAGCAGTTCTCAAACTGTGGGTTGTGACCCCAAAGTGGGTCGTGAGTTCATTTTCATGGGGTTGGCAGGGCTGGTGTTAGGCTAGCTGGGACCCAGGGCAGAAAGCCAAAGCCCGAGCCCCCCGGCCTGGGGCTGAAGCCGAAGCCCAAGTAACTTAGCTTTGCGGATCCTCCTGTGGCGTAGGGCCCCAGGTAAATGTCCTGCTTGCCAGCCCCAATGCTGGCCCTGAGAGTAGTAACAGACTCAATATTTTGAAAAACTTAATTGTTGCTGTCGCTTCACTGGCTCCCAGAATGACAAGTCTCACAAGAGAAAAACAGGCTCAAGTATCACACTGAAATATAAGTACGATATTTATAGTCCAATTGATTTTTTTTTTATAATTATATGGTAAAAATGAGAAAGTAAGCAATTTTTCAGTAGCAGTGTGTTGTGACACTTTTGTATTTTTTATCTGATTTTGTAAGCAAGTCGTTTTTAAGTGAGGTGAATCTTGGGGTACGCAAGACAGATCAGATTCCTGAAAGGGAATACAGTACAGTAGTCTGGAATGATTGAGAGCCACTGCATTAGCTGACAGATAAGACACAAACAATTGAAGATAAATCTTTGTGTTCACCAGTCCAAGTCAAATACTCAGAAGACAAGAAAAAGAATATTAATGAAACTGCACACACTGCTGAGTTCTCAAAGTAACAAATCTACAAACACAAGTGACAATAATTTTCAGAGATAGAAGGCAACTTAAATGAGAAAGAACTGGCCATTCAACTTCTAAAATTTTCTTATGACCAAATCACTTCTTAAAGGTGTTTGGAAAGAAATACAAGAACACGGGTTAGGTCACAGCTATTAGGGTCAACTGTGAACTCTTAGAAACCTCATTCTCACTGAAACAAGGGGAAGATTCACACTGTCTGCTTTCAATTTTAGATGCAATATTAAAAACAAATAAATCATCCTTAGCTCTGTTACAACTTGTTAGATAAAAAATGCTAAGGAAATGGAATGTCTCTGGGATTCCTTATAAGCACACCATCTGTTTAGTAAACTGAGCTATTGTAAACAGCTGCACTAACTGAAGATAATCAAACTACACAATACAACACATTTTCAGACGTGTCATTTGATGGTCCGTCCTTGAACTGGTGTTCCTGTTTTGAAACTAATCCAAAAAGGATCAGACAAAGTGTATGATCCCAATGACAGCTGCAGCACTGGTCATGCATGCCTAGAGCACTTGCTAACAAAGACGCTTTCTATGACAAAAACATTGAAATACACAATGTGCTCATGATCTACAAAGAATTTAAAGACAGAAATGGTCACACCAGAAGCCCTAGCAGCTTCATCTTTATGGCGATGATAAATTTGCCATTCAGTTTTCTACTTGCACTCTTCTTGCACAAGAGATATCCTGAATTTCCAATGTCTTCCTGTACACAGACTTGTGCCAGTGGGTTAAATCAACTTTTTAATTGTCTCTTTAAAATGAACGTGTAAACAAGTCAAATGGAACATCTTTGCTCTGTACAGGAATATGCTAAAAAAAAAAAAAAAAACTTCAAATTTCTCTGTTTAAATTAAGGATCTGAGCAATTTTGGCACCTTGTGGACCCTTGGAAATCATAAAAAATAACAACAATTTCTGCAACGACGGATGGCTGTGCCACCAATCCAATTTATGTTGTAATAGATGATGAATGCTGCCAATCAACTGCATATGGTCATACCACCAGTTTACATAAGTGCACTTGAATCCAATTTACACAGCAAACAACAGCCATACCACTAATCTAATTACATACTGACATAGTCTGTTTTTGGATTTTCAAGGTGCTCACCACCATATTATTTAACAATTATATTGTTAAATATTGTATATAGTCATTGTGATAGGCACTATACAAGCATACAATAAATGATAGTACACTACCCAAAGCACTTATTACGAAGCTTGGCAGAATTCTATTTTTATTTTTTTATAATTTCAATGGATAATATCAATGTTTATTTTTAAGCTTTTTTTAAAATTTTCATCTATTTAAATTTTCACAGTTGTGGGAAATTGTGGGGGAAATCAGATAATTATTATTTAATGACAGTAGACACTGAGATTCAAAGCCTTAAAGCTTTATAATCATTAATGATGAATTGTATATGATGACACTGACAAAGTAAATATCCTTAAATAAAAATCTCAAGTTCTCAAGAAGCATTTTTCTTACTTTGCCTATCCGTACATTTTGATTAATATCAGTAGAAATATTTTTTTGTTGGTTTGTGTGTATACACTCAAATTAACATTTACCAATAAAAATCTAATCCTCCCAAGCCTATTTATAATCTAAAACACAAGAAGTGACAAGTGGATGAGACAAACAAGCCAGGGTAACAGGGAGACAGGGTCACAAATCTGTGCACAGTTCTTAGTCAAGGATGTGCACAGTTCTTAGTCATTCTGTAGCAATGATCACACCTTGCCATCTGCCAAGATGTTATCACTTTGCTCTTTTCTGTATGCATTATGCAGGCAGTGAGCTTTGAAGAAGGGTTGGTAGCTTTATAGATTTTCACTGTACACTTTTCCCACATAGGAGAGCGTATGAATGGTTGATCAGAGAAGAGGGTGACTGAGGCTGCATCATTGCTCATGATTTATTAAACTTTCCAGTGCCCCTTACTTCAATAAGTAGAATTATTCTTCATTGGTGTCTTCCAGGAGAAATGTTACTGAACTATTTTGTAGTCACCCCATTAGAGGGAAAGTATACATAAAGGTGAGACAGAAGTGTCAAGTCTTTGTGTCATCCTTATGTCAGATAAAGGAAAATGCACTTTTTCTCTCTTCTTTCACTAATAATGGCCGATCTTGTTCTGCCCTTTTTTTCCCCTTCATTTTTAATTTTTTTTTTTTAAAAAGGAAACAGCCTTGTACAGAGAACAGGTACGGCCAGTTCCAGACCCAAAGATGACAGCATCTCAGAGGAATGGCCCAACCAAAAGCAAGGGCTACAACAGAAACTGTTTTGCAACACGAACTCCTGCTTTAAGAAAGGGCATGGGACACAACTGAAAGCTTCTATTGGGGTGGGTGAGCCCAGCATCTGTGTGCTGAGGTACTAGTGCGGTTAGGTCTCCTCTTGAACTGCTGCCTTCCCTATCTATTGTAGTGCAGACCTCAGCATTAGTATCTATCCTGACAACCTTGGTGAAGAGCAAATGTTACTTGCCTGTAGAAGATGTGCTCTCAGAAGTAGATCTCTTTCTGGAAGGACTGCAATTTGTGCTCTCCGTCTGCCTCTGGGAGGGCTTGTCCTGTGCTGGCAGGGTGCCTGAAAAGCAGAGAAGAGAAAACAAAAGCCCAAGAGAACTTAAATTAACTTAAAACTAGAAATGCCAATGAAACACATTCCAGATGTCAAATGTTTAAAGCAGGGTAACAATTTTTACCAGAAATAACACTTGTTTGTATGGGGCACGCAAGTGGGGAAGGGCAGAGTTTCTCATGTCCGATGATTAGTAACAATCAAAAACACTACCCTCCTAGAAAGAGGGGGCTGTTTTACAATTAAACTAACTTTTACTATATGTATTTCCGATTAAAGGCCTACTTTTAAGCTCATGGTTGTACATCTGCAACAGTATACACACTCCCCCAACACCTCACTTTGCAGGAAAATAAGACTAGAAGAATTCTTGCATCTCTGGGTACATACAGTTTGCATTTTTAAAGTGAGTGGAGCTATCTCTATCTGCAAAGTTCAATGCTTTATATGCACAAGCACAAGAGAAGGCTAGGTAGAGGACCACTTAGAAATTTGGCACTTAATCTCCAAAAATAATATGTAATAATAAGGTAAATCATATTACAATTCTAATGAACATAAATGAGCTGCCTGCATAAGACTGTGAAATATTTAACAGATTTTATCCATGTCTTAGCTGAATATTTCATGTCTTGGAGTAATGAGGGCCACAGACCCAGGACACTGGGTATTCTGCTCTATGCAGCCTTGGAGGCAGACCAACCCTGTCAATCAGAGGCAGGGCAGGTGTGGTTCCACCGCCGAGAAACCGCCAGTTCAGACATTTCCATAGCCTAGGAAAAATTATGCACTCTATATCAGTAAGGAAAATGAGTCATTAAGACTAAACAGAACAAGGAATTCTGCAGAGCAAGGAATTCAATGAATAACAAACTTTGAGTGCCAAATAATAAGTCAGTATTTTTCCCCACTTAACAGCCCATTTAGTGTGGATTGAATCTGTGGACCTCATTATTCTAAGAAAGGTAGTTTTCAGGTAAGACATGGATATATTTTCCTTTTCTTATACGTAATGAGGTCCCCAGATCCATGACACTGGGATTTTATAGCAGTGTTCACTCAGGAGGGAACTATATACAGATATGCACAGAAGTGAAAGGGAATAACCTTTTCCAAATAGTTACAAGGATGCTACAGTAGATGCACCATCTACTCAAGGCAGCATCAGATGATGACTGGATGTCCAACTTGTAGAATTTTAAAGGTGGCATGAATAGATGAACAGGTGGCTGGTTTACAGATTTTCTTGTATGGGGCATATGGTCTTTCTGCCCATGAAGCTGCCTTGGCTCTGAGGCAGTGAGCTCTGATATTGGAAAATGCAATTAGGCTTTTTGACTTGTACGCCTCTGAGATACAATATCTCAGCCACCTGGAAGGGAGGATTTTGAAGCCTTCTTTCCCTCTAAACAGTGGATAAAAAGCATTAAAGAAGTGTTTGTCATTCTGACCTGTGCTCTGTAGTGAATATATACATTGAGACCTCTGGACATCCAAAGTATGCCACAATTTCTCTTTGGAGTGTGACAGAACTTGACAGAAAGAGGGAAGAACAATTTCCTGTGCTCTAGGGAGCCTGGAGTTAGTCTTGATTATGAAGACAGGGTCGGTTCTGAGTATCACTTTAGCCTTATAGAACATGCAGTAATGAAGTTCCAGGAAAAGAGCTCCTAACTCAAACACCCTGCAAACAGACATAATTCTCATGAAACAAAGCCATTTTAATGGTTAGAAAGTAATAAGATACCTTCACGAGTGGTTCAAATGGAGGCCCTATGACAACATTCAGAACCAGGTATGATTCCATAAAATAACTTTATGCACATCAGGAGGATGCAGAGGAGATTATGCTCTCATAAGAAAAATGCTGGATAACTGGGTATGATGAAAATTCAACAGTTATCTACCGCACAGGGGATGCTAGACAAAGTAGCACCTTGATCTTTGTGTTTGAACTGTCAGGTCTAACCTGAGTCTATTCTGAAGATATGCGAGAATCTGTGGTACCAATACAGGTGAGAGGGGGTAAGGAGGGGTCAGACGCTTGACCTGGGACTAATGGTTAAAGCTCAACCATGCCCTTGAATACACTGAGTAGATTTATTTCTGGAAGCTAAAATAGTGGATATTACCTCTCTGAGTTACCTCTGACTTAAGAGGTTCTGTCCAAAAACCAGACAGCTAGTCTCAGACTGTCTGGATTTTGATTGGCCCATGTAATATCATATCTCTTCTAGATGGAAGGCAGAAGAGTGATCTTTATACCCTGTGAAGGGGATCAAAGACCCAAGGCCTCCTTGGCCAGAATAGGGATAACAGAATTACCAGTTCTGCTTCACTCCTGATCTTCTGTAGAATTCTGAGGACATAAAAAGGGAGGGAAGGCATGTAAGAGTCCCTTTCAGCCATAGTTACAACAAAGCCTTTGTTGCCTTGGGTCTGTGATCCCACCAGTAAGGGCTTGTCTACACTTACATTTTATAGCGCTCTAACTTCCTGGATCAGGGGTGTGAAAAATCACCCCCCCTGAGCGCAGCAAGTCTGAACGCTTTAAAGCGCTAGTGTGGACAGGCTCCGAGCGCTGGAAGCCGCGCTCCCAGCGCTCGGAGCTAATCCCCTCGTGGAGGTGGATTACCGGGAGTGCTGAGAGAGCTCTCTCCCAGCACTTGCGCACGACCACACTTGCACTTCAAAGCGCTGCCACGGGAGCACTCCCATGGCAGTGCTTTGAAGTTTCTAGTGTAGCCATGCCCTAAGAGAATAACTCTGAAACCATGCAATTCAGGTGGGAGGCAAACAGATCTATTGCTGAGAGAGTAACATTGTATATCAGGAGATGAAACACCTCTAAGGTGTAGTTTTCATTCTGGATGTTCTAGCTTTTGCTTCTTGAGCCAGTTGGCTGTAGCATTCAGTTTTGCCTTGGATAAGAAAAAAGTGAATTGACTGCAGATTCTCCTTTGCCCAAGTCATCAGGAGGTGAGTTTCTCTTTGAAGGACAGTAGACCTTGTTCCCTTAATCTGTTGTTGTATGACAGGGCTGAGCTGTTGTCTATCCTGATCAGCACTTGAGGTAAGTCCAGAGATGGGAGCAGAGCCTTGAGACCATACTGGATTGCCTTGAGCTCTCCTCAGTTTATGGTATGCTTGTGCTATTGTTTGGACTAGATTCTTTGTACAATCTTTGTCCCTTCATGAACAACCTGGGAATTCTCCTGGTGTGATATACCTTAGTTGAGCAGTGGATAAGAGACAGTTGAGGGAGCGATAAAATGAAGTTCTGTAGCGGCCTCATGTGAGCACTGATGCACTAAGAATATCCATATGGGAGACCACTAATCCCAGAAGAGACAGAAACATATGAATGGATACTCTCCCCTTGAGAAGTTGACCATTTTAATAAGATGTGTCTGCTTCTCATTTGTTTCCTGCAATTTGTAGAGGACAGTTACTGTTCCCACTCAGACTGTGAATATGCTGAGACTGCAAACTGACTCTCACAAAACCATGGCTCTGCAGCCCTTATTGCTATGACAGTACAGTCCATACTGACTGACTGAGGCTCAGAAAAGGAGGTCACCCAGAAAGGGGGAGACTGGAACCTTCCTTTCTGATGGCTGATATTAACACTAGCAGCATTTGTGTAAACACTTGCAGTGCTGTGGTCAAACCAAATGGCAAGGGCTTGTATCGGTAATGTTGTGCTCCAAGAGCAAAGGTGAAGCAGCACCTGTGAGACTGACAAATTGAGTTTCTCAGACATCTTACAGATGTCATGCAGCCCCCTCTGTGGATGGCAGTTAGTCTGGATTTTAGGGTCTCCATCTTGAATTTATTTATTTTTTAATCTGTTGAGATACCTGACGTTGAGAACTGCTCTGTAGTCTTCTGATTTTTTTAAAACGAGAAACAATATGGAATAAGGCCTTTTTTCTCCTGAAGAGGTGGAGACAGGTTCAATTGCTCCCATTTGCAGGAGATGTAGGATGGCTGTCTGTATGCCCTGACTATTCCTCAAGCAAAACCTCCTAGGCTGTGCAAATGTTTTAATTGGTTGACAGAGAACATACTTGCCATACTGTCTGCCCATGTTAGCTCTGCAGGGCACACAGGGTGTGTCTACACTGCAAAATCATCAGCAGCAAGTCTCAGAGCCCAGGTCAACTGACTTGGGCTTGCATAATGGGGCTAAAACCAGCACCGTAGACATTCCTGCTTGGGCTGGGGCTCTGAAACCGACAAGTGGGGTGGACCTCAGAGCTTTAGCTCCAGACTAAGTTGGAACATCTACACATTGTTATTTGTTGCTCGGTAATGCAAGCCCCAGGAGCCCAAGTCAGTTGACCTGGCCTCTGAGACACGCTATCACAGAGTTTTTTTTCTTTTTCTTTTGCAGTGTAGACGTACCCTTAGGGCATGGGTGGGCAAACTTTTTGGCCTGAGGGCCACATCTAGGTATGGAAATTGTATGACGGGTCATGAATGCTCACGAAATTGGGGTTGGGGTGCAGGACGGAGTAAGGGCTCTGTCTGGGGGTGCAGGCTCTGGGGTGGGGCCAGAAATGAGGAATTCAGGGTGCGGGAGGGGGCTCTGGGCTGGAGGTGCGGGCTCTGGGATTTGGGGAGTAGGAGGGTACTCCAGGCTGGTACCGATGGGTTCGGAGGGTGGGAGGGAGATCAGGGCTGGGACAGGCGGTTGGGGCATGGGGGGGTGAGTGCTCTGGGGTGTGGCCAGAAATGAGTTCAGGGTGCGGGAGGGGGCTCCAGGCTGGGGCAGGAGTGTGTGTGTGGGGGTGAGAGCTCTGGCTATGGGTGCAGGCTCTGGGTGGGGCTGGGGATGAGAGGCGTGGGGTGCAGGAGAGTGCTCCAGGCTGGGATCGAGGGGTTTGGAGGGCAGGAGGGGGATCAGGGCTGGGGCAGGGGATTGGGGCGCAGGAGGGGCTCAGGGATGCAGGCTCCGGGCTGCACATACCTCAAGCAGCTCCCGGAAGTAGTGGCATGTCCCC